GGTCAAAGGTCAAGAGGTGTAAAAGAAGGGGGAACATTCACTCCTTAACTTAAAACGATCATTGTGAGAATTTTGCTCAGAAAAACTAAATATAGCTGAATATAGTCTCACCTGACAGCGAAAATATCACTGATTACACCAACATTCAAAACACCAATATTTTATGCAGTTATACAGGGTTCTTGTTAATAGCCGGTAACCGGTTATTTTTACCGCCTATCACGCAATTTGTTACCGGCTATCAATTTGAGAGAAACTCCCACTAAAGGCGGTAAAATATTTAATCCATATTTGAAAAAACGAAGTTTATTTTAAATACTTCCAAGTTTCCAACCCAAGACTAACTCTGTGCACGGGCGGGTCGCCGGCGAGTTTGTTTACCCTCGTGCGGACACACAGACAAGCGGAAGTTTCATACATATCAAGCAATTTGATTGGTGGTGTCGTATAGGCGAGATCCAATCAGAAGTGCCGTTTCAAACGAACTTCAGCAAAGCGCGCGCGTTACCAGTTTACCGCCGGCGGAACTGAGGACTGAGGACATATAGTGTTACCTGGAACTTTAGTCGGAGTCTGTCCTATGGAATACTCAATACTGTAGTAACTGTAATACTTAATAGAATATATTTCAGTCCACATTATATTATAATGTAGACTCAGATTATAAAAATGCAGTGATAATTGAATTCTCAACTTGGCAGATACTACTAAAATAAAGAGGAAATACACTGTTACCTGGACTTTTACTTGACATTTATGATTTTTCTTTTTATACTAGATACTTAATACTAATAGCATATATTTTCCTATCTAAACTACCAAATTCTAGAACCCATACCCATCAAAATAGGCTATTGGTGGGTCAAATCAGAAATGTTTTTCTGGGGGTGCATGCCCCCGGATCCCCCCTAGCAGGGCTTCGCGCCTTCGCCGCTCGCCCTACCGTCCGTGCCGGAAAAACAGTTACCTGCTATTCATTGTCAAAAGTTCACAAGAACCTTGAGTTTAAGCATAGAAAAATTGATTTGACCACATCATACCAGCAGCAAATTTTTTCGAGTCAAGACTTTCAAAAATCACAAATGGCGTCTCAAACAAGCGAA